AACACAAACATATATATAATTCGTTCATATTTTTGAAAGTGAACTGTCTCAAATATCTATATATTTAATAATCTTAAATGTAAACTCTTAAAATAAACTTACATTTAACTATACTCCCATCTTTAGCTCCAGAGTACAATACACTTCCATCACTTAAGAGACATATACAGGTAATGGATGTTTTGTGCTCTTTACATTTTAATGAGATAAGATCCTTGTGACCAATGTAACATATTGCTACAGTTTTCCTTAATCGACCTTTCTCTTCTAAATATTCTTTGTGTAATCTTTGTGAAACAGCGCCTTCTTCAAATTCTGCTCTATCTTTTTCTATATATTATAGGAAATTATTTTAATATGTAAACACATTATTTTTCCCAAAATATTGTAAATAAAACATGAAAATATTCTGTTTTGAACTATTATATACCTTCTTCTTCAATTTCTTTTATATACTTCTTTGCAAGTCTAATACGTTTTTCTTGTGCAGTTTCTTCTTCTTCCTCACTCTCACTCACGAATCTTTCAGTTTTGCTTCTGTAGAATAAAATCAATTCTTGTATTAAATGTTACCATATACTTTTAACATATTTAATTATTAATTGTATTATATACTTACTTAAAATTTTCTTCTGCAAACTCTTCATCTGTACTCGCAATACTTTCATCATCATCAGATACAGACTTCTTTGCAAATTTCTTTGATTGTTTTGATATAGACTGAGTACCATTGAACTGATAAAATATTTGAAATTATAAAAATGTCTCCGTATTTTACATGATATATGATCTTTATAATTTTTATTTTCAAAATTAACAAAAATAGGAAAAATTTAAAGTATTTTACCATTTGGAGCAAACCTGATTTTAACTTGCGAGTAGAGAAAAATGTAATATTTTCTTTTAAAAATAAAAAATATATTAAAACTTTAATGTTAAAAATATTAAAACTTTATTTAAACTTTGATGTATTGAAAATTTAATGTTTTCTTTTAAAAGTAAAAAAATATTAAAACTTACCTTGCGTTTTACTCTTCCACCTCCTCGATTATTTCTTATAAAAAACGACATAATGACAGTAGAAAATAAATATTGTAGATTAATATAGTTTTACTCAACCAAACCACACGGTACAAGTAATTATATCCAGTAAAGTTCTTAGGTTAGGTTAGGGTTAGCAGTTAGGGGTACGTTCAGATTCCCTACCCGGGTGCACTCTAATACTAGAAGTGCTATAGTATATGTAACATATACTATAGTGTTTCTAGTAATAGAGTGCACCCGGGTAGGGAATCTGAACGCACCCTAGGATGCTGAATCGGCTACAAATCAGAGTCGTTTCAAATTCTCCACGAGATGTCTCCACAATTTTTTTCTGCCGGCCAATAAGAAAAATAGCTGATCAGCTCTTTGAGTCATACTACTTAACATATATGAAGCAGCTGACTTATTATTGAGCAGTATCACGATCTTGAATCTTCGGCAAGCGGCGACTCATAGCGGAGTTTTTGGAACTAAAGTCAAAACATCACAGACAGAAATAATAATCTTTTTATTTACCCAATTCATTGTCGTATAACGTTGTAAAAATTAATGAAACTTTATATGGAATAATATATATGAAAACTAAATACTTCAAACCAAGATGCTTTCTGAAATATCTCACTATTTACTTCTGCTGAAATTATAGCTAATTGAATTTTACATAGTTTTCATTATTGAAAGATGTGATCTTTTAGTTTCTAATGCTTAATGTATTCTACGAATAAAAATAATTATAATTATATTATCTCTCTGCTAGAGTCAACACTTTTCGATGCGCTAACTTGCACGCAGAGTATCGTTAAACACAATGCCCGGTCCCTTTAAAAATGAGAAGTAATCGAGGCCTATTAAACGCATTACTTCCCCATGAATCTATTTCAGCGTTCACTCTCGTAGATTATCGCGTTAGTGTAAGCGTCGTGACCGCAACAGACTTTGTTTATACAAAGCTTATTTTAGTTAAAAAAATATCAAGAAAAATGGATTCGTATAATGAACTTTACAGTGTTTTACAAAAGCTCGATCCCTTGTCTGATTCTCTTTGGCCTTACCTAGTCAGTTTGTGTGTTGGATTAATCATTGTGATAAGGTACGTGCTTGCGTTGACGAGTATAAAATAGTAATGTAAAATTAATTAATACAAAGTTAAAAACTGTATAAAAAAAAATATATATAGTTGTAATAACTGTAAAAACTGTTTAGAGAAAAAAATAAGAACTCGCAAACGAAGATATCAATCAAAAAATTGGAAAAAGGGCAATTCGAGTTCAAGCACAGGACTAATAGTGCTATATACCATATGGGTAAAAAACCTTCCTTATATTAGGAAATCGTGTAATATTTATTGAACATAAATAATCAATATAAAACAATCATACGTTTCGGCTCAACCATGAACCCTCTTCAGTGATAATAAAACTCAAGGTTTACGACACGAACGCATTACAATTAGTAAAAGACCTGCGCAAATTGACATGAATGTTAGTCGCAATATTAAAGCCGACAAGACCGAAATAATATTAAGTAATAAATTAATATTGAGAAGTAGCCGTCATAACTATAAAAAATATATAAATTAAAATAAAAATAAGTAAAATTGAAATATAATATATAATTAAAACTGACAATATAAAATGGGAGCGGTGCACTTGGGCACGGTGCATTTG